GAAACTACCAGCTGCTCCACGGGAGAAAGATCAGGCTTTCTACTCCCGTAAAGATTTACACCCTCGGAAACCCTGTACAGGGTCGCTATGGGTCGGAATCGACTCGACGGCACTTAACAACAACAACAACAACAATATATATATATACATAAGAGGAGCTCTGGTAGCGTAGTGGTTACGAATTGGGCTGCTAACCTCAGGGCCAGCAGTTCAAAACTACCAGCTGTTCCTTGGTAGAAAGAGGAGGCTTTCTGCTCCGTAAAGATTTATAGCCTCAGAAACCCTGTACCGGATCACTGTGGGTCGGAACTGACTTCACGGCATATAACCACCAGCACCACCATACATATATGTGTGTAGTAGGGCAGAGTCCTGGTGTGGCCCTGTAAATTAATGCTCTGGACTGCAAGGTCAGTTGGAACTGCAAGGGAGAGGTTCAAGCTCACCAGTTGCTCCTTGGAAACCCTATACAGGATTGCTATGAGTCAGAACCAACTCGATGGCACTTCACAGAAATATGTATGCAGGGAGTCCTGGTGTGGAGCTGTAGAATAATGTGCTGGACTGCAAGGTAAGTTTGAACCACATGGTAGGCTGTTCAAACCCACCAGCCGCTACTTGGAAACCCTATGCAGGGTCACTATTGGTAGGAACCAACTCAATGGCACTTAACAGCAACAAACATATGTATATATGTCACAGTTTCAGAAACCCTAAGGCTCAGTTCTACTCTCTCCTATAGGATCGTTATTAGTCAAAATTGACCAGATGGTATTGGATTCCACTGTCATCTAATTGATTCTGATATATATATATCAAAAGTTCCTGGAAAGAAAATGGAATTATCTCACCAACATTTTGAAGCCCACCTATATATATAAGGAGTCCTGGTGTGGCACCGCAGGTTTATGCATTGGACTGCAAGATCAGTTTGAACCGCAAGTTCGGTGGGTCAAGCTCACCAGTAGCTCCTTGGAAAGTCTATACAGGTTCGCTATGAGTCAGAACCGAATCGACAGCACTTAACAACAAACAATGTATATGTAAAGCTATTAGGAGTCCCAGTGGCACAATGGTTAGGCGCTCGGCCACAAACTAAAGGACGAATTGTTAGAACCCAGCAATCTCTCTCGGGAGAAAAGGTCTGGCAGTCAGCTGCTGTAAAGATTACAGCCTAGACAATCTTTCTGTTCCATCCAGTAGGGTCACTGTGAGCCAGCATCACCTCAGTGCCACATAACAACAATATCAAACTATGCTCTGACAGCTGTATCTCATGTCATTGGGGATACACACGGTATTGGAATTATAATGAGCTAAGCATAAGGTCAGAAAACATAAGGTTAAATCCATACATCCAGCATAACACTGCAGAAAAACACCAAACAGATCAAAGTTAACAATTTAAAATATGATACTTTACAGATAAGGAGCTCTGATAGCGTAGTGGTTGCGAGTATGGTCAGCAGTTTGAAACTACCAGTGGTTCTGCAGGAGAAAGATGAGGCTTTCTGCTCCCATAAAGATTTACAGCCTCAGAAACCCTGTACAGGGTTGCTGAGTTGGGGCCAACTCCATTGCATACCACCACCACCACCACCACAGATAATAGAGGAAATCATACTTAATGTCTGTACACATTTAGAGTTAAACAGGCCTACGAGTCTCCCTTCAAAAGTCAATTTATTAAAATTTAGAAAATCTGTTATATGTGTTTTTTAATGAATGTCTCAGTGCAAAACAATACAACGTCATTATAAACACAGTTTAAAGGTAATTGACAAACAAGAAAAAACCATTTTCAGTTAATGTTTTAAAAGTCTCTTCTCTCTCTCTTAAAAATCAATAACAAATAGACACCCAATGGGTATGAATCATTCATATAAAAAAACAGTCAAGATGACCTTTAAAGATTTAAAAAATCATATTGATCTTAATCATAATTTAAAAACCAAACCCAAATCCACTGCCATTGGGGTCGATTATGACTTATAGCAACCCAATAGGACAGAGCACAACTTCTCCTTAGGATTTCTGAGACCGTAAATCTTTATAGGAGCAAACAGCTTCATTTGTTTTCCCCCTTGGAGTGACTGGTGCGTTTGAGAGGCCAGCTTCGTGGTTAGTAGCCCAATGCTCAATCCACAGCACCATGACGTTTAATTCACAAGAAGAGGTGAATTAAAACTATGTTGAAATGCCATTTCTTATTGGCAAGCATTCAAACGTTTAACAGCACACTCTGTAGGCAAGAATGTGGAGAAACAGAGTTGGTGGGAATACAAAAAGTGGCTCATTTATGGAGGAGATGCTGGTACTATCTATTAAAATTATTGAGACACTTATATTTCTGGCAATCTATCCAATTAGTAGGTGCTCATATATGAAGTCACATATATTCATCATGTTATTATTCATTGAGAAATAAAGTGTTAGCAGAGGTGAACAGAAAAAAAACATATGCATGGAATATCTCTGATGTCAGACTTAGTAGGACTTGATGACAGATTGCTGGGAAGGAGACAGTGAGGAAGGAATAGCAAATAGCCTCCAGGCTTCCTACTTGAGGAACAAGGTGTATGGCGGTGCCATTTATTGAAATACAAGACACTAAAAGAAAAGCAACATTGTTTGAGACGACAATAAATGCTGTATGATACATACAGGGTAGGTAGATAGATACAGAGGCCCATTGCTCAATGCAGACCTCTGGACGAGCAGTACAAATTTAGGATATGTTGGCATCGCTGGGGGATAAGCACTAGACTGAAAGGTATGTTTGAATTGCAAGGCCAGTGGTTCAAACTCACTAGTCATTCCTTGGAAGCCTTATAAATGGTTGCTGTGAGTTGGAAACGACTCAACAACACTTAACAAGTGGCATTTTAAACCACATAAATATGTGAGATGGCTTCAGGGTGTAAAGTTCAAGGTACAGGACTTAGAAGAGGGTCTCAAGGAACACCAACATTTAAGCTCATAGAAAAAGAAATTGTTTGCAGAACCAAATTCTGAGTAATCAGGAAAGTCAAAAGACAATAGCAGGAGTGAATTTCAAAAATAAGGGAATAATTTTTTACATCTCCAAGTTGGACGTGTATAAGGAGTGAGGTGATATTTGGATTTAGTGAAGGAGATATTGATAATCTTAAGGAGAAGCCAAACTACAGGGGGCTAAAACATGTCTGAGGTGAGGCAACAGTCAGAAGTGGCACAAAGCTGATTCCATACTTGGGTATTTAGAAGTGGAAATGTAAACGGTACTTTCTTTTTTTATTTCCCAAAAGACATATTTTTATTTAATAATAACCTTGCACTCAAATAAGGAGCCCTGGTGGCAGGGTGGGTTAAATGTCGGGCTGCTAAGCAGGAGAGCACCTGTTCAAACCCACCAACCCTTCCGCAGGAGAAAGATGAGGCTCTCTGCTCCGGTAAAGATTTACAGTCTTGGAAATCTTAGGGAGGAGTTCATTAGGGTCCAGTAGAGTCACTATGAGTCTTTACACATTTCTGACACCCAAGGCTCACAATTATCTGAGGCAGGTAGTGCTTTGTACAGGTAAGAAAACCAGAACAACTCAAAGTAGTCATGACAAGCCTTCCAAGTAGAAAACAGCAGAACAAGGGAGCAGACAGTTTCAGGGTGCCGTGTCTTGCTCATGGTAGACTCCTGGTCTACCAAACTACACAGCTGTTGTTAAGTGCTGTTGAATCAGTTCTGACTCATAGCAACCCTGTATGAGATTTCCGAGGAGTAGCTGGTGGGTTTGAACAGCTAACCTTTGGCTAACAGTCCAGTGTTTATCCTACAGTGCCACACCAGTACTCCATACAGCTAAGGAAGACCAAATATTAGTGAGTTTTCCATTTCAGCTTACATAACTTCGAAAAGTTTGTGGACCACTTCCATCATCTTTTAAGTCCATTTTTCCAATGAGCTATTTGAAGCCCTTAATACCCAGCCTTCCTCTAGAAAGGATCTGAGATGTCTATATACATATGCAGGACAGGGTCCCTGGGTGGTGTAAAGGGTTAAATGCACTAAACTGCTATCTCAAAAATTGGAGGTTCCAGCCCACCCAGAGGTGCCTCAGAAGAACGGACTGGTGATCTAGTTCCAAAAAATCAGCCATTCAAAACCCTGTGGAATACAGCTATACTCTGACCTACATGGAGTGATCGTGAGTCAAGCTGACTGGAAGACAGCTTGTTTGCTACAAAAACACAATGATGCTCTTCACATGTGGCTAAGCACATATTTTCTTTCAGAGAATAATAGTCAATGGTGTTTAAAGAGATGGTGAATTTACTAAGTTGCTAAGTAAAATTCCTTCCTTTATTATCAACAACATGTGGTGGTCATTATTTACTCCATTCTGTTACAACTATAAAATATAATCTCGTGCACTGGCACCTTTTTATGTTAATGGAGCTTTAGTTAATGGCTTGAAGTCTACAGACTCTTTGGGAAAGACATGTTAATAGTAATAACAACCACAATTTTATTACACTACTTAAATGTTTAAGGAACTGCCTGTAAATGACAGAGGGAGAGAAGAGGAAATTGACTATTTCATCTTCCCCAGTTCTACCATCGCCACTTTAGGTCAGTAGCCAGTGCCCAGCACATCCACATCCTGTGACCCTCAGTGCGCAGTACACTCCCTGGGTGCATGTACTGTGTTGCCTCCTCTCCAAGCCCCTATACTCAACGCAATTAGTTCCCAGAGTTCCTGCCATGGTCCTTCAGCGTTGACTCGCGCCCTCAGTACTTGAGGCTCAGCTTCGAAGGACAGGATTATGTTGAGCATGCTTTTAGCAACTGGTCAGTTTAGCTTTTTTCAGGAAACTCAGGAAGTCGTCAGGGTGTCTTTAATGCTACACTTCCCTTGTGGACTGTTCCACACCTTGGGATCTTTCATCTTCTCTGCCCCTACAATAGTCTATTCTTCCTGGGGCTGTCCTGCCCAAATAAGGCCACCCTAGTTGATTCCAGATCCGGGAAGGAGCTGGCCAGATGACTCTGGGTTGTTGTGCTCTTTACAATTATAGAAGTTACGGACGGGGGTGAGGGTGGGGAGTGACTTAAGCCGAGAGAGAAGAACAAGACCAAAGATCAAGACTGTAGTTCCCCCAAAGATCTAGGTAAGGGAAATCTCAAGAGCTGACAATGGAAACACTGCAAAAGGTCACCTCGGGCACGCTCATTTACTGTCCCTCTGCGCAGAGAGCCGAGAAACCCCCCAACCCGCTCACCACAAACTCCCCAGGAACAATCCCGAAAGAAGTGTAGTCCTCTCTTTTACTCTCGGACAGGAACTTTTCTCCCTGTCCACCAGCGGTTCCCCTTTCCATGGGCAGTATGGAGAACTGAGTCAAAAGTCAGTACGCAAATTCCCTAGGAATTGGCGCCATGCGCCAAGGAAAACCCCGACGTACGCAGCTTCACGGTTAGTACCCAGAGGCCACGGTTCTGGATGGGCGTTTGCTGGTGGAGCCTCTGTCTGCGCTGATAACATCTGCACAAGTCACCCTACTCCTCCCCTAGAGGATCGGGGAGCCCATGTCCCGAACCGCTTCCTACCGGCCCTCCCCGACTCCGAGGAACTCCATTTTTTTTCATCCTGGACACCCATGAACCCCAGTTTAACCCCCTTCTCTCCAATCAACCAGTCGCGGTGGCGAGCAGCTGCCTGCCCTGTGTTCCCTCCCCAAGAACCGGTGACCCCGGCAGCCACTCACGGTGAGAGCCAGCAGGAGCTGCCGGCAGAGGGCTCCGCTCCAGGTGCTCCCGGGTTTGGCCGCCATGTGCGAGGGCTGCGGGGCAGGTCGTCGGCCGAGGGAGGGCTTGTCAAGGAGACTGGTCGCGGCCGCGCGCGCTGGGCAGACTACGGAAGAGGAGTGCGAAGCGAGAAGGTGGAGCGCGGAGAAGCGCTTTTCTCTGGGTTTCTCTGAGATCCCAGTGTCTCTCCCAAGGGGCTTTTCCTCTGGCTGAGGGTGGGGCTGGAGACGCGTCTCAAAGGCACAGAACGGCCCCTCCTTGATATTTTCTTAAGTCTTCGTTTCTCTAAGGAAGCAATAGGTGGGAACTCCCTCTTGTAGCCACCTCGTTACCTGCGCTAGGTGTTTCTCACAGTGGACACCTCCTATATTCCCGGTGTCACCCTCCTCCCATCCCCCCACCCCCCGCCCGGTGTACGCCTGGAAGGATTAGGAGCTGGCCCTGCCCTGCAGAAGCCCTGACTGTACAAAGACTCACTCCCCGAGCGCGGCGAGAAGGGGCGCGGGCTAGGCGCACTTCCCGGCCCGGACTCCGCCCTACCCGCTGCCCAGTTGGCCTTTGTTGAGCTGCAGCCGCCACGGGTCAGTTACAAATCCTACCGGACTGTGTCGGAGCTATAGCTTCATGTCACAGCTGCCTATGGCCTACCTGCTAGAGGGTTGATTCTAAGGAAACTATTTTACACACGCTTTACATAAACATGGACACCCAAGTGCGGTTTGGGACATTGATTTTTTTTTTTTTTTTGCCATTTGAAAACGATACAGGAAGACCATCACAATTTAAGAACAATCAATAAATATGTTTTTAACACACTAAGATTATGGGAAAATAATAAAACCAAGTTAGTACAGCCAATGAACATCTTGGGATTCTTAGTCTTGGATAAATAAATGGGTCACTCAATTTCTCCAAGAACCTCCCTTGCCTCGATTATGACAAGCCTGAGTCTCATAATTTATCTGCAGAATTACACTCCTGAACATCTCCTACATGAGACATCTCCATTTCTTTATTTGTATTCCAAAAACCGGAGCTTACGTGGGAAACTAAATAAACATTTTGATTTGAAGTATATTTAAGCTGGATGAATGATTGCAGCTCTTAGCCTGGGAAAGTTAAAATCTAAAAGCTGTATGCTCTCAGGTTTTTCAGAAAGCAATGATCTGGCATTCTGACTCATCTTCCTGCAACTCTTTTCAATTGCTGACTTAAACCAGGTAAGTCTGAAAACAAAGGAGAAACTTGTCCATTTGATTTTGTTTGGTTTAAGTCTACTCAGTGACATTTGGAGAAACCTGTTTGAAAAGCCAACCATAACATCCACACAACTCTTGCAAACATTCCCCATCTTAATGCTTTTAAGCACAGA